TCTCTTTTCCTTTCTCCCCCCCCCCCCCCCCCCCCCCCCCCCCCCCCCCCTGGGGCGGCGGCGGGGAGGATTTCACTTACTATATTGAGTATGTGACTACAGATATTTGCATTGTATGACAATGGGCCAGAGTCTGAAGTCTCAAATTCCAAGCATACTCTGTTACAGAATTTTTGATGTTTTAAAAAATTCTACTGCCTTTGATTTGAACAATGAAATTTTGTAATTCTTTTATTATGCTTCCAGCTGCAGTGAATGTACTAGAAAGTGTTTCATAGCACACAGTTTCCACTGCTCAGTGATAAATGGGTTTTGTCATTTTGTAGAAACATATTCTCTTTCAATGTGAAAAGCAATTTTTTTTTAACTTACACAAACCTTTGAGATCTGTAACCTCTTCGTCTTAACCATTTTAGTTAGAAAAGTTGACAAAAGAAACACATTAAAATATTTGCCATTTAACTTAAGTTCTCTATCAGCTTCTTGGAAAGTTACCATTAACTGAACACTCCTGGATTTGATATTATATTCTTATTATGCTGTCTTTGAAAGAGTTTTCATACTTGCTCCTTTCTGCTTATAAATTAACAAATGCTCATCAGAGCTCACAAGGAGAAACTCTTTGCCTACTTTGGGACAGGGCAGATAAAGAGGACCATGTATAGTTTCTCGTACTCTTCCTTATTTACTACTTTTCTAATAAATTGTTGTGTAACTTAGGCAGGAACCTTTTCTGTAAATGTATGGCATATTCAGCCAAGTTCAGCTTTGACAATCACTAGTTAAAAGAGATTGGCTGATATCTTGGAACTTAAAAGCAAATTTGTTCTCTCTGTGTCTTAATTGCACTTGCAAAAAAAAAAAAAAAAAAAAAAAAAGATGTTTTGATTACTGATCTGCTTTGTATCAGGAATGTAACATCATACTGAGATCATAAAATGGCATAATTCAGTCTGTCAACCTTGTTATGCAGAAGGAGAGCTAGTAATGTGGTAAATAATCTCTGTAAAACACAGTTTATAAAAGTTTAAAATTTTTCGTTACTGCCTTGCAGTAATAAACTTACGAAGTTTTCCGATAGAGTGACAGAAAGAGAAATACTGCATAAAAAAAAAGAACCATTTCTGTTAGTCTTTTACCATACCTAGGTTTATACAGTGCATTTCTTAAAGACTTGTTTCTGAAGTGTAATCTACCTTAAATCATTTAAAAATATCCCTTTTGTCCTTTCTCAATCTTTGCCATCTTGTTTTGTTTTTTTATAGCATGAACTCAGATTCATACTATAAAAGCTGCTACTTTGGTAGTGCAAACACAAGCAACCAAATAATGAGAATAACCATAACAATGATCTTAAATTCTAGTTGCTAAACTGCTGTATTAGTCAACATGTCTACTTATCTATTTTTGTTCCTCTAGATGTCTTCAGGTAGGTTAATTTGATTCTCTGTTTCACTTTCCACGTGTTCATGTGTCAGTGCTCTTATCTCATTGGAGCTACTTTGGTCAGTATGTAAAAAGTCAAATTCTAAAAATTTAAAAGGATGTAGGTAAACACAGGATCACCAAGCTCCTGATTAATTTAATATATCACTGACCAGTAGTGTTGCAACTTAAAGCTCTGATTTTTACAATTGCTAGAAGCTTAAGTGTTTTGCAGACCGTTACATGACATTTTTTTCAAGAAAACATTATTTAATATGTTCCCATTTCATTTTATCTGACAGTCGTCTATGTTCCTCAAAATCTTAAATCACAGAGCTGCTTATATAATGCTTCTGTAAAATATATTCAGCCATAATAATAATAAGCATTGTTTTTGTATTGTCTGCAACTGCAGTTTCTATATCTGAATGAAATTTAACTCACTGCTTTATTTCCAGTGCTGAAGACTTAGTACCAATTCCAAATTTACATGTCAATACAAGGACTTCTTGTGTACAGTACTGACAAACTGCTTTCAATGATCTTAACATTTAAACTCTTGTTTTCAACAGAAGGCACAGAATAGCTCACCAAGCTTAGTTGTTTTATTGTTAGATTCAACTTCATAATTCTTAGCTTTTTGAATTTCCTAAGAGTTAGTAGTTCATTCTCTACTGTAGGGTCTAGTATGCCACCAGACTTTGAGAGGGATAATATTCTGTCTTTATCATAAACTGTTTCTTGCCATCTCCATTTATTTGCTTAGTGCTTGTCATAATTTTAGTTGGCACTTCATTTCTCTTCCTTAAATTCCTTTAAAAAAAAAAAAAAAATTTTTTTAAAAAAGATGAAAAAGCACTTGTTTGCTTGCCTTAGACAACAGTAGTTCCTAGAATCAATTTATTGTAGAAGTACTGCTAACATTTCTTAAAATTTTTAACTTCAGCTCTGCGCTTATGGTTCTTTGCTTGATTACCAAAATTACTTTGATTCTGTGATTATATTCTTGCAATGAAGCTTTTAAGCCATATTTCTGTAATTCTGAGTAGGTCTGTTCTGTAAAGTGGATACGCTCTCTTAGTGAGGTTTCTGGAGTTGCTTTCTGTATTTATCCCTGCATTCAGCTAATTTTAGTTTTGGGATTCATATACTATCTTTCAGTTCTGCTTTTTGTTGGCCAAACTAGTTCAAACTAGTTGTGCTAGATTTCTGTCTTGATGTTATCTGTTGTATTTTTGGATAACAAGTTGAAGAACAAGCTTGATCTAAAAATAATGAAAATGGTTTTGAAAGCTTATAATTTTCCTTCATTATTTAGAAACTATTAGAATTTGGAAAGTTTGTGTGCAGGGGGAGATACTGTATTTTCCTTGTCAGATAGTAGATGACTTTCTACACAAGCTGATGCTTTGTGAGATGGATAATAGTTTTGCTTGCAGCTATATTAATTGGATTCTTTTCCTGTGTCTTGTATTTTAAAAGCTTGTTAAAACTGTTCAAGTGTAACAAAAAGTGTGTTGTTAGGAAGTAATTTTTATAT